ACCATCTAGCTGCCATTTTTAATCAATAATGTGATAACAAAATTGTGACTCATTGAGGAAGATCACTTGCAAAAGTCTGCCTGTTTCCTACTAATGACCTCACTGAGAATCCCCTAAATGTATGTGTAGGCTATTCTCATAAAAAATAAAAAATTCTCATTAAAAATTCTTATTTAAAAAAGATAGTTAAGAAGGATGTAAAATAGTTGTTGATAATCTCTTGGTCTCCTTTTTTATATTAATAAGATCTGATATTTCTTTCATGTTTTGGGCACTAGCTTAGTCCTCCTTTCAGTATACTTGGTCTAACTCACTCTTTTTTGCTATCTTTTCTCTTTAGTGACATTTCACCTTCCTCTAAAAGAAGGCTTCTTAAACTTTTCCCACTCATGACCCCTTTGTACCTTCTGGCAGCATTCATTGGTATTGTGCGGCCTGAGGGTATTGGCAGTGCAAAGTGAACATGCTTTGTGTTCAGAACTAAGGCTGCAGTGAAGTTGTGTGATGCAACATGGGCAAGCACTGCCAAAAACACTTCAGATGTGTTTGATTTTTAATTAATTTTTGGTCATTGCAAGTTTTGAAATCTTTTACTGTTGTCAAATTTTTCACAACCCACAGTTTAAGAAGCACTGCTCTCAAAGGACCTTCCAGGATTGTGTTGTTAGAATCCATATAATATAGTTCTACTTCTTGATGGTGAAAATAATTATAAATATCTTTGCAGATCTTTTCCATTTTTCTACTGTTTGTTTAAATCCTTCCATTTTCATCCTTAATAGCCCTCAGGATGACTGTTCTTAATTGCAGCTCTTGCTAAGTTTTCTTTTAGGTGGCTTTGCCCTCTATTGCTTCTCTCTGTTTTATGAAATGATGTAGTGTTCATAATATTCCTTCTTTATAAGATTTTATAAATTAGTTTATAGTCTAAACCAGTGTTTCATTCATCTTTCATCTTTCTCCACTTGGCAAGTGCCAAGGTGGGGGGGAGGTCTGTGACTTGGAAGTGAGATGAAATCTTAGCTCAAGCAAGCAGAGAAATCTCTTACCCAAGAACTCGACTTTTAGGGGGTCCCTGGAGATGCAGATGCTGGGATTCAAGGGACTTACTGGGGTGTCAGCAGTTTCTACATTCATGTGTCTCTGGGGGTTTCCATTACCTATTCACTGTCCTTGCCTTGCTTCTTCTCCCCTCCCATCTTCTCCCTCTTAGCAGTCTTCTTGGGCTCTCTCCACTAATCAAGAGTCACATCTCTCTCCATATATACAGCATACAGTGTGTCCTTCAGAGAGCTGTTCTTCCGGGAACCACCCAACCTCCCTACTCCCCTGGGCAAGGGTGAAGCTATACTCCTCCCCTGGGCTGAAGCTTTTTTGTACTTTCTTTCAAAAATCAGCTGGGATAACACATAACTCTGCAGCAGGAATACAACATCAGCATTTTAAACAACAAAACTAATTTTCCTGGTGTCCTAGGTAACCAACCTACAAAAAGAAAACAAATATACATTAAAAGTACGTGCAATAGACATGGCACTTAACAAACCATCATCTGAGAGAGCCCTTCTGTGACAATATGCTTAAAATACATGTAAGACATAGTACACGAACCCCTCAAGTGTACTTTCATATCTAGAGTATATAGCAAATAATTACAAATGCCAGAGCAAACACAGTGCAGCTAGCTAACAAAACAAAGCTAACTAGCTATAATAACAATACTATCCATAGGCCTGTATAAAATGTACAGTCTAGCTATTAACTTTAGCATATCACACAGAAACAATGAACAAAGCAGACATTGTCACATCATAAGCAAAATATAATATATAGTCTAATCAACATAGCAGAAAAACACTCAAACATACAGTAATTTTAACATGTGCAGTAATAAATATATACAGTTGGCTACAAGGCACGCCTCTGTTTGGCTTTTAAAGCCCTTTACAACCTGGTCTCCTCCTATCTTTACAGTCTCAGTACACCCGCTTTCCCCCGCGTCCTCTATGATCTGCTGATGCTGGCCTCCTTAATTTTCCTCACAAAAAAACACCCCATCTCTGCACTCTGCATTTTCACTGGCTGTTCCTATAGGCCTGGAATGCTCCACTCCTCACCTCCACCTCCTGGCTCCCCTGACTTCCTTCAAATCTCAGCTAAAATTCCATCATCTTCAACAAGCTTTCCTGCTCCCGCTTAATCTTAGTGCCTTTCCTCTGAAATTATATGAAATATGTATATTTCCTATTTGTGCATACTTGTTTTCATGTTGTCTCCCCCTTTAGACTGTGAGTCCCCTGAGAGTGGGTCCTATTTTTTGCCTTTCTTTTGTATTTCCAGCTCTCTGCACAATACTTGGAACATAGTAGAAGGTTGAAAAATGTCTGTTGACTTCTTAACTTGTCCCCTGAATACATGTGTAACTATTCTTCAGAATCACCTGTAATAACATAAGTTCGTGACTTTTCTGATGGGTCTAGCTCCTTTATCACAGGCTGATATCTGCTCTTATTACTCAGTCAGTAGCTGATACAGGCTGACCATTAGGATCCTTATAGATTTATTTATCTAAACCCAGGCTGACAGCACAGACAGTTTGGCTCTCTGTATATTTCTGCTTTGTGGGTTGTATCATTTTATCTTCACAACAACCTTGTGAGGTAGGTGCTATTGTTATTCACATTTTACAGATAGGGAAACTGAGGCAGGCAGTGGTTAAGTGCCTTGTCCAGTGGTACACAGCTAGTAAGTCAGGCTTCTAGAGTAGCAATTGTAACAAAGAAAGGCTTGCCTCTGTGTTTAGTTCACTTGCTCTATGTACGTATGGTATTCGACAGCCTTGGGTGCAGTCTCTATTAGCGTTTCCAAAGTCTCCTGGCACTCTAGGAGTGTTGTCTCTTTCCATATATATACAGCATTCAGTGTCACAGTGTCCTTCAAGGAAATACCCAAGTCCATCTGGGGTATCTTGAGCACTACAATACAAAATTCTCAAATATACCATCAAATGATTTTTGGTGTTGCCTTTGAGTATACAATAAAACTCCTCCTGCTACTTCCTTTGTTTTTCTCTCCAAGGAGAGCCTGAGAGGCATTCTTCAATTTAGTTTCAACTTGCTTCTTCTGTTTTCATTTACAGCAAGAATGTCAAGATTGATATGATTTGTTCTTCCAGTACAGGGTTTATTTACTTGGAATCCACATTCCCAAGGACTTGAAGATAGACTTCAGGAGATCTGGAAAGCTATTTTTTAAAATATTTTGATAAACTATATTTCAATAAAAATTATTTGCCTTTGTAAACCTGTGGATTTTATTTGTGGATTTAAAATCATGATTTTCAGAAGGGGTCCACAGGCCTCATTCACCCAACCGACAAAGTGGAACAGGACACATTTTAGGAGTATATATATCCATTTATTGGTAATTAGACAAGGAGTTCACATTTACAGCATTAGCAACCCAGTGAAAGTTTAAAGATAGTCTAAAAGTTGTGAATCTTAACCCTCTCTTGCCCCTTTTTCACCACCCTGGCACTTTCACTTTAGAAACCAGTGGGGACCACCCAGGACTAAAAGGCCATTAATATCTTTCTTTGTTTCTTGGGTTGCCATGACCAAAGAATTCACCACATATCCTCCACCCCACCCCATCCTGCTCCATACTGGTAATCAACCTCTCCTTACTTAGCTAGGCTGCTTTTCAGAAAGCATTACCAAAATCATTGTTGAAACCTTTCCAGCATGGTAAGACCTGCCTGAGCTCCATGACTAGGCCCTCAGGAGTCAGGATTTACCTTCTTTTATAATGAGGGACTTGGTGGAGGAAAAGGCCAACTAATGTCCTGAAAACATGAAGCTTATGATCAAAACCTCTTCTTTATCTTAGCTAATGTATATAAAACCATAAATTTAAGAATAAAACAATCATAAATTCATAGATCTAGAACTGGAAGGGGTCTTGGAGGGCATGTACTCCAGCCCTTTCATTTTGCAGATGAGGAAACTGAGGCCCAGAGAGGCAGTGACTTGTGAAAAAGCCTCCAACTAGTAAGCAAAAAAGAACAACTGTCCTATTTCATGTTTTCCACAAGAAGATGAAAAATGTAAGACATCATATCCGCCTCTGAGAGCTATATGAGGCAAAGCATTTACACATAAAAAGATAACTAGCAATAGGAGGTCATATATGATGTGTCAAATGAGTCGTACAATGAAAGATGTCATCCTTTGATCCGATGATAACAGCAGCCAAATTTTTCCTTGGGAGATGTAAATGCTTTACCAAGGAGAATTTTTATTTATCTTCTATCTTCTCCCTAAAGTTGGGTTTTGCAAGTTTTTTTTTTCTTTTCCTTCCTTAGCCTCTAACCTATTCCTACCACCAAAACAGCAAGGCCAGGTAGAGGGGAAGTGACTTATTTTTTTCTCCATTTCCCCATCCCTACCATATTATGTTCTGGAAAATTGCATCACTCCAGTTCTCATTACCAAGAACATGTTTCCCAGCTCCTCTCTCTCTGTGAGACTAAATACTTGAAAATTATTATTAGGTCTAAAGAGAGGTAATACTTTGAATGCTAATGATATAAAAAAGCCAAAGGGAACCATATTTGGCAAGGTTCCTAAAAGAAGACCAAGTCTCCAGTATTGTAGGCAAAGTGTTTTCTGTCTCAGAACCAAATATTGGACACTTCATCAATCTAGCCTAACCCCACTGACAAGAGCAAGTGCCAGAAACCAGTGAGGAAGGAAGTCATCTGCCAAGTCCAGGGGTAGATAATTAGTAAATCGAAGCCATTTTTGATTTACCCAGGCAAAACAATAGCTTGACCTCCAGTCTCAAGGAGATACATCTATAGCCACAGGTGAAATGAGAGCATCCGGTTTCCAAGGTTTAAACAGTGATGTAATCCCCACAGGAAGACTTGATTCCAGAGCAAGATAACCACACACTCTTTTAAAAGTTTTTCTTGCTTTTTTTTTCTTCTTTTCCCACAGCTTGATCATTACTCTCCAGTGAGCTACAGCCTGCCAAGTTCATCTGACACGCTGTTCAATTCTCCTAAGTCTCTCTTTCTCGGAAAAGTGATAGGTAAGCCTTCTGTTTATTTAAGAATTTTTTTAAATATTAAGAATAAAAATAATTGTTATAGACAAGGCTCACAATACTGAATTTGGATTTCAAAAGTTATATGGTTTTTTTTTTCTCAGAGACCAAAAAATCATGTCTTTTCCACAATGAGAAAATTGAATAAGTCTTGCATGGTGTGCCCCATGGTACAAAAGAGAAAATATGTTGGCTTGCTGGTTGTGTCTGCTATATGATCTCACCCACCCCTTTTCTTTAACCAATAGTAGCCTAGATTTGGGCTTGCAATAGAAGTTTCTGGGTCAAAAAGTAATATGCTGGCAAAAATGTGGAATTTCCCCTCTTTCCCCCAGGGTAGCAGAATGTTGTTACCATTTTTTTTTTTGCCATTACCTATTTTGTTTCCTTTTAAGTGAATTGAAAGAGAGACAAGATGAAGTGGACTATAAGCTTTCCGTGAACTTCGGCAGGGTATTATGGCAGCCAAAAAGGTGAATGTAGTCTTGGGCATGACTGGAAGGAGGAAGGTGGTCAGGCAAGAATATAGCAGCACTGTCAAACCACATCTGGAAATGGTGTGTTCAATTCTGGAAGGATATTGATAAAGTAGAAGGTATCTGGCAAAGAACACCTAGGACAGTAAAGGGTCTTCATCGTGCCATGTAAGGATGAGGTAAAGGAAACTGAGGAAGAAGCTGTAGAGAGGGCACATGATGCCTCGCTTCAAGCATCTGAAGGGCTATTTTGTGCTTGGCCTCAGGTGGCAGCACCAGGAACAATGGGTAGAAGTGGTAAGAAAGAAAATTCAGGCTTGATGTAAGAAAAAATTGCTAAGAAGTAGCAATACCGAAATGTGAAACAGGCTGCCTCAGGAGACCGTGGGTTCCCTTTCATTGAATATCTTTTGGAAGAGGTTAAATGACTGATTATTAGGTGTGCTATTGAGCAGGGGTATCAAACACACGGCCAGAGTGGCACTCAGCTGCCAACACTCCCGAGTGCTGTCAAACCAGATTAATTATAGTAGCTAACATTTATACAGTGCTTATTATGTGCCAGAATGTTAAAAATGTTATCTCATCTCTTAGTGTCCTAAACACTTTGCAAATATTATCTCATTTGATCCTCACTACAAACCAGGGAGATAAGTGCTACTATTAACCCCATTTTACAGATTAGGAAACTGGAGGTGACATAGGTTGAGTGACTTGCTCAGGATGACACAGCTAGTAAGTGATAGAAGCTAGATTTGAACTCAGGTATTCCTAAATCCATGCCCAGTGTCTACCCACTGTACCACCATTTGAGAACTATTTAGCAAAATAAATAAAAATATAATAAAACATAAAGGGTATTAATTTGTAGTTTTCTAAGTCATTCTGTGACTCATGGGGGTCCCTTTCTAATTGAGTTTGAGACCATTGCAATAGAGGAAATTCTTTTTTTCTTGTTCATGTGTGGTTTGGATTGATTGGACTCTGAGGTGTCTTATAAATCTGTGATTTTTGTAATTCTATGAAATTACAGTGTCCCAAAAGTTTTAGGGGCAGTTAGGTGGTACAGTGGATAGAGCATTGGCCCTGTAGTCAGAAGGACCTGAGTTCAAATCTGATCTCAAACACATAATACTCACTAGCTGTGTGACTCTGGACAAGTCACTTAACCCCAATTACCTCACCAAAAAAAAAAAAGTTTTAGTGCAGTTTTAAGCTTTTATAAGCTTAAAAATGTTTGCATAAGCTTATTTAATTTAAGATTTAATAAGGTTTAAGGTACACTAAAACTTTTAGAACATATTGTGTAATTACACTTATCCCTTCCACACAGCGACTTTCCCCATCACGGTTTCAATATATTATGGATTGGCATGAGAAATTAAATGGGAATTTTGGGGGAGTTTTGCAGAAGCTTCAGATGACATGCAAAGGCCAGCAGACGACACAGTTTAGAAACTCAGAAATGCATAAAATATATGTATAGTATTGTATAATATCGACCCAAATTTTATAATAAGGTACTGTAAACAACCCAGAAAAGAAAAAGAAAAAAATTCAGATTTCTTCTCTGGTACAAAAGGAGGGCCAAAAAATTTTATGCAGAATTTCTAGACTGCAGGGGCACCACCCCCCAACCCCCCCACAATGTAGAAGGGATAACTGTAATTTGGGTTAGCTACAAAAGCCATAATGCTACAAGAAAAATGCTACTCACAGATCACCCTCTAAAGGAGCCTATCACTTAAAAAGGAATCATCATAGGGTGTGCCTAGAAGGGACTATTTGGTATTTTAAATCTGTGTAAAGCAAAGTGAGTAATACAAACCATATCTGCATTCAGCCTTAATTGTATTAGGTCTGTAGCGTGAATTTTCCTCTCATTGTAATAAAATTTAGTTGTGTACTTAAACTAGTTGTGTAGGTCAGGTTGTAGTTGACATAGGAGAAAAGGAGACCACCAATGAAGTCAGACAGCATGATGCAGTGAAAGGTCAAAAGTTTGTAGGGTGGTGAGCAGAGTTTTCATGGAGAAATCATCCTCTCCCTCTCTCCCTTGGGTGGTAGCGTTGAAGAGGAAACCTGAGATCTAACATCAGACGAGATGAGATCCTGTAGTCCCATTTCATCTCATAAATAATTGAAAGTACAATACCACAGCTACAAAGGGGGTCAAGATAAAAATGGAAAAGAATCCTATGAAAAATGGTTACATCACTGTATTTATGTAGTTGCATTGCTTTATTTTAAAGAAACCTTTCTCTCCTGTGGTCATCTTCCCCAGAGAAGGTTGTTATTGGAAAGTTTCCGTTGTCATAATTGCCATTCCTTAATACTAGGGGAGGTGAGCATCGATCGCTCTCCTCCTACCCCCAAGATTCTGACCCAAACACTACCGTGAATATAGTCCTGAGCTTTCCTAGCTAGCGTCCCAATAAGGGACCATTCCCCAGGGCAAAGAAAAAGGGCATGGAGGGGAACCTGCCATTCTCAAAACTCCCAGTGTTTGTAGAAGGGGGCAGTGGTGGCGCTGGCTACTTTTGGTGGTTGTTCATTTTTTAAGTACGGGTAAGAACATAGTTTCTGCCAGGAACTCTGCTGTTAGACTCGTTCCTGGAGAAACCACATTAAAAGTCCAGTGGTGAACAGGCAGTTTGGTTCCAGAGTAAATCACAAAGTCATGCAACTTGCCTCAACACTCTGGTGATGTATGGTAATGACATGCAGGGTGAAGATGGATAGTGCATTTACTGGCTGAAGCACTCATCATTATGGATGCCATAAATGCAAAGTAGTCTCCCCACCAGGACAGAGAATGAGAAAGGGTTGAAGGAACATCTCTTTGTGCTCTGACTTATTAGAGAGAACAAAGAATTCCTAAACAGAAGGAAGAAATAATCGAGGAAGGATACCAGAAATTTAAAAGAGATGCCCCGCTCCCCTACCTCTAACCTAGGAGGTAAATGAGAACCAAAATCACCATGTGGTTGATAAATGGAAGGATAAGGCACAGAGCAGAAGAGCTCTAAGCTAGCAAGCATGGCGTAATGGGAAAGATTACTGCCCTAAATGTCAGGAGGAATGAGATCTAGTCTCTACTCTATCAATAACTAGCTGGGTGTCTCCAGGCGAGTAACTCAATCTCTCTGTACCAGCTTTATTTATTGTAAGAAGAAGTAGATGGTGCAGTGGATAGTTATACTTGGAATCAAGAAGACCTGAGTTCAAATTCTTCCCCCAGATACTTCCTAACTGTGTGACCTTGGACAAGTTATTTAGCTTCTCTCAGTCTCAGTTTCTTCTTCTGTAAAATGAAGATAATAATAGCACATACCTTGCAAAGATGTGAGGATACAAGATAACTTTTACATTTAGGCAGTGAGGTGGCACCAAAGATAAAGTGCTGAACCTGGAATCAGGAAGACCTGAGTTCAAATCTAGCCTCTGACATTTACTAGCTGTGTGACCCTGAGCAAGTCATTTAACTTCTGTTTGCTTCCATTTCCCCAACTGTAAAATGCAGTTAACAACAGCACTTGCCTCACAGGGTTGCTGTAAGGATCAAATGAGATATAAAATTATCTCAGAACTTAGCACAGTTCCTGGCACATAGTAGGTACTATATAAATGCTTATTCTTTTCCTCCCTTTTCTATTCTCCCCATTTTATAAATCCTAACGTTAAATGTTAGCTATTATTTTTATTGCCATCACCATTTAAAATGAAGTAGTCAGCTGTAAAGTCTCTCTAACATCCCTTTCTGCTCTAAAACTCTAATTCTCTGTTTGATAGAGAGAATGCGTCCTAATTTCAACACATTTGTCAAAGCCCTTCATTATATCCTTAAGGAAATATTGGCGAAATGTGAGCTGGCTAATAGTAATTGATCAACCATTCAATCAGCAACCACGGGCACTGGAAATACAAAGACAGAAATGAAACAGTCGATTGTTGCCAAGGAGTTTACCTTCTAACAGGGAGATAATGCACAACCACTTGGGAAATGAATACAGACTAGTTTGGGACGAAGAATTCTAGCAGTCGGGAGGATTAAGAAAGACTTCATGCAGAAGAGAGGGCTTGAGCTACATTTCAAAGAATGTGAGGGATCTGTGAGGAAGAGGTGAGGAGGAAGTGAATTCTAGGCATGGAGGACAGCTAATGAAAGGTCATGGAGAAGAGAGAGGATTGTCAAGGGGGAAGAATAGTAAAAAGGCTGCTACTAGTAATGGACACATTGTGGTGTATTGTGGTTTGCAAAGGACTTCATAGGCTTTATGTTATGGCCTTGATAGTAAATTTCTTGCAATTAAGTGAACCTGCAAGCCAGTTGAACAGCCATTTCCCATGATTATTGACTACTAAATTGATATCAATTATGAAGGAGGTCTTCATTCACCTGCCACAGAGCTCCAACCTTGGTCCTGTCCTGTTAAGCTTTATCATTCTGGACAAATAAATAAAAAGGAATGCTTATTACAGTTGAAAGTTATACGAATTTTGAAAGAA